TGTTTGTCATCAGCTTTTGGCGCACCAAATTGAAATACTGGTGTTGATTGTTTGTCATCAACTTTTGGTGCACCAAATTGCATTACAGGTGTTGAACGTTTTTCATTAGTTTCAAAAGTAAAACTTATTTTGTTTGAAGAATTTTCTATTGGACTATCAAAACGTGATACAGACAAATTGTTTTCATTTATTTTAGAAAGATTATTAGTTGTAGATGAATTTACAATAGATCCACCTGGAGTTGATGTTGGAATAGTAAACTGAAAAGATGGTACATTTTTATCATTTTTAGAATCTTTTTGTCCTTCAGTTGGAGATTTATCATTAGTATTTTCATTTTTCTCTGGCGATTGAAATTGTAATTTAGGTTGTTGATTAGGCCTTTGTACCGAATTCTTTGGAGTTTCAAAAGTAATTATATTATTAATAGATTTAGGTTTATCTTTATCATTCAGTTTTTCAACTCCTTCATTAGTTTGTTTATTATTCGTTTCTACTGATGATACAGCAGAAGCTGTTGGACTTTCAAAATTAAACTGTAATGGTGTGTTAATTTTATTTTCTTCATTTACTTTTGGTGTATTTTCAGACAGATTATGACCAAAAATTAGAGACATAGATTGTGTTGAAGGTGTTGTCACTGATGTAGCACTTGAAACAGGTACACTAAATAAATTAGCAGTAATCGCTGGCTGTATTTCATTCAGTTTGGGAGTTCTATTTTCTGCATTTTTCTTTTTTTCTTCGAGCTTATCAATACTAGTATATGGTACAGGATCAACATCGTCAAATACTTCATCAAGTATAGTTTTCATAGTTATTTTCTTCACAACCTGTGTTTTCCCACTTCTGTTAAATATTCGACTGGCTGCAACTGTTACTAAATCATCGGATAGGTCTGTTTCTGTTGTTTTGTCACTTTTATTAAGTTTATTTTGATCATTTTCAAGTAGCACAGTAGATCCACAACATGTACAGCTTTTACAGTGTTTACGATTTGGTGAGTTATCTTCATGATCTAATAAAATAAATATATGTAATTAAAGATTATTTTTAACTTTATTCTGATTTATTGTTTCAAAAACTTCTGTTTCTGCACATTAGTTTCTTTTACAATTACTCGGAGAAAAATATTATATTTAATGCAATAAAAATATTAGATAAACACAGTCATATTAATAAAACATAAATTTAATTAGATGGTATAATTATTGACAACTAATATTAAAAAATGTGTTTAGTGATATTAAATATTGTTAAAATAAAATATTAAGAATTAAGTAAGACTTAGATAAAAATAATTTTAAAATTAAATAATAAAGTAAAAATATAATTTTAAAGCCTAATAAATATTACATATATTTATAAAATATAGTCTTTCCTTATAGTTCATGTGAATATTACAAACCCATATAATATTTAAATAAAAATAATTACCTCTCGGATAAGGTCTTTTCTGACCAGACTTAAGTAAGAACTTGCTAGAGCTATAGGAGCTCAATATTTCATTATTACGAGTCTTAGGTTTCTTCTGTGAATGACACATATTTGTTTCAAAATCTCCATGTCTTTTAGTTCTAATAAAATTTTACAAATTATTAAATAAAAATAACAGTCAGATTAATAAGACATTAAACTATAGTAAAGTAAAGATAAATGAAAAGTGTACTAACATAGACAATATTAACATTATTATAAATTTACAATCAAATCAGTAATAAAATAATTTTTTTTATTTGATTAAAATAATAAATAATTAATAAAGTAATAAAGTAATAAAATAAATCAAAAATTAGTAAATTATTAATACATCTTAAGGGATATATAAATAAATAGTTTATGTATACAAATAAATTGATTTAATCTGGAGTATTATTATATTTGTAATATGAATTACTATTGGACTATTCAAAATTTAAATATCTAGCACTTAAAATTTCAAAAAAGCTACTATTCAATTTATGATTGCTAACATTTTATTAAAAAGTATGTCTTACTTTTTGTTGTCTATGTTGATATTTTTAGAGTTCATAACTATTGATATTGGTTGAGTTAATCTATGATTATGTCCATTCATAACTGTTAAACGATCAGGAGTGTTAGATTCAGTTATTGTTTTTCGACGTCGATCAACAAATGCATCACCACTGCTCTATAAAATCAAAATAAATTACATTAAATATAAGTAAATAGTTTGGAAATTAAATATTATAAAGCCCAACATACAAATTTATGAGTAATTTACTTTTAGAAAAATTAATTTTAAATAAAATATTATTATGTTGTGAACCCTTCACATGTCGCAAATATTGTTAACTGAACAATAACGTAGCTCGACAACAGCTGTGTTAGTGTTAGTAGCACAACAGTCAGTCGATTTGTGTACATAATCAAGTACAGTACATAATATTTAATCTCAATAAAGGCATATTAATAAATTCTCATAAGTGTATATTGTTTTAATTTATTTCAAAACTATATGAGGAACCAGTACTCTGATTGGTTTAAACCGTTGACACGGAGACAACCCAAAAAAAAGATTGTAATAACTCACGAAGATAACCGAGGGTCACAACAATTAATTACATTGTATTATACATGAAAAATTTAATTTAATTATATATTGAATTCGTACTAATTTTATTAAACTAAATTTTAATAAATTATATAAAATATAATGTATGAAAAAAAAAAATTCTCTAACCATAAGGCTATAAATATAAATTTAGTTGAATGTAAAATGTCTGTACAATCTACAGTTCAGCTAACTAGTTCAACCAAATTATTAACAATATTAAATTATTGATGGCTATCACTAACTTTAGTTATAATAACTGTGCTAGAGTGCAATGTTAATAATCAAATGTAAATCCTTTGAATAAAAAAAAATAGGCATAAAAAATTATATTAATGGTATTTAAGTAACATAAATACTAATATGAATAACAAAGTATATTAGTTATTTAAGTCTAGTTAGATCAACATTAAGTACATATTTATTCTCATTTTTCTTTATAAAAATAGTATTATCTTTAACACTAACTATTATAGTATTATTATAATTAGTATTATAAAACTTCATAATATTTTGATATTACATTATATTATATTTCAATATATTACCACTTGGCGAGTTCTTTTCCTAATACCAAAATTATCCAATGTTTCCATCAATTTCCTCTTTTTATCATATCCATCCCTCATTGAATAATTGCCATTGATTGTATTCCTTCCATTTAAACTATTCCTAAGAAATAAAGTAACAATTATTTATATAAAGAAATAGTAAAATAATTTACATTACTATAATATTGCAGACATTATGTAAAAAATTAAAGATAAATATCTCCCATATGAGATTAGTTAGATATGTATGAGGTTATTTGCTAATTACATTTTTTGGTGAATTCTTATTATAAATACAAAATAATTTAAAAATTAAATTAATCCGATTTAGTTACAATATTTACAAAATAATAAAAATTGGTTATAAAATGTAAACTAATATTATGAAAATAATAAATAACATGCAAAAACAAAATCAAGTTATAAAATAAAAAGTGAAGTCACAATCAATTTTAAACTAAATAAGTGTAAAATTCACAGTAGGGAATAATATAAATAATACAAAATTAGACTGGTAAAACTATGAATTAATACAAAAAATATGTTGTCATCATACAAATAGTTATAATTAATAATATAATTTATAAATAAATAAAATAAAATCGCAGCCTAATAATATAAGTATGGATAAAAAAGAAAAAAAAACAATAAGAATATATAAAATAAATATTAATGTTAAAACAATCAAATAAATTAAAATAATACATTTAAAATTCTAAATGAAGCAAAGAAAGTATTTAATATATACATATTGTAATATAACTACAAATACTAACTCTAATGTGAATGGTGTTGACAAATTTGATAAATCCATATTTGGTGTAGTTGACCTCATTTCACGAGCTCTTTGAACTATTCGATAACTAAATCCAGGGCTAGTAACAGTTTCTTTACAACTTGATCTAAAAGAAAATTATTTACAAAAAAAAATGATGATGAAAACATACATTTTTAAATCATAAAAAATAACATCTATAATTTTAAATATAGCAATAATAAGTACACCCTATAAACTATAGGAAATATTATACATTTAATACAAATTTAATGTATTATATTATTTATTAATAATACTGATACATGTATATGTAAATAATAATAAAGTACAGTCTAAGATTTAAAGAATATGCCATCTGGGACCCTATTTTAAAATGCTACATATACAAATTGGTTGTACTGTTACACCCATCATAAAAAAAAATTATATAAATAACAGTGTTATTTAAATATATATATTATTAAAATAAGATCTGCTCATATTGATCAAAGAAAAACCTCTGGAAGGAAATATTAAACCCATTTGTTTTTAAATCAATATAACTTGACAGTTGATGAGACTATGACAACGATCTACGAAACTCAACATTTGAATAGACAATAGAATAAAAATAAAAATTGTTTGGTAGTATACAAATAAACCATTTGTAACTTTTAATATCAAATTTAATAATCTGATGGTTATAAATTATAATACAGCCATACGGGTATACAAAAAACACTCGAAAATAATATAATAATAATACAAACAAAAAAGGAAATTCATCAGTCCGAGCTCAATATGGTCTAACTAATAATATTCTAAACGCTCATTCATTTGATAATTCTGCAGTAGACAATATAATATTATATAACTATTACTATTTGTTACACACATTTTTCAATGATTAATAATTCTTCCTAACAATTGTTATACATTAGAAAATGTTGTTTTCGCTGTTAAGAAATTATCTCCTCTCCTTAAAACTAACACCAAGGGCAACTGCTTCTTTGCCACCCCTTAACCCAGTACTGATAATGTACTTTTTAAAACGAATCAGGATAACTTTATTTTAAAAAATAAATAAATTAAGATTAAAAATTTAAGTTTCATTTGAGGTTACAACTTTGAAATCAATTATACCAATATTTAATTTATCAAAATAACTGTAAATATTATTAGTTGAATGAGAAAGATATGTTTTTAGGAATCTATAAGCATGGTATAAAATATGAGAATACAATTTTATATTGATAAATAGATAATAAGATAGATTAATATCGGTAAAACTGCATTTCTTGTACCATAAAAATGTTTTTTATAAAATCCTCAAAAGGTACTAGTTGATAAAAATTATTATATACCCATATAGATGTAATATAACATTGTACATACCTTAAGGGAGAATTAATTTCATTTGATTTATGGGCTATGGGCAACTTGTTGTGAAATATATTGAGAGCACTGGCCTCTGGACTATTAAGATTTAATGTTGTCCCGCTCAAGTTGTCAGGAACCTTATTCTTATCAGCATCCGATTTGGCATTTAAAAATTTTAAAAATGAAAACATAATTAGAAATGTTAATCTCACAGCTCACGATAACGCTGACAATTTTAAATAAGAGACTGTTTTAACAAAAATATTCAATGAAAACTAATAACTAAAAACTAAAAAATATCAGGAAACAACGTGCGAGTAATAAGAGTTGTTACGCCAAGTCACGCGGACAATAGTTGTTACTGAATGTCCTTATTACAATATTCACAACAGTATCTGGGCGACATTCTTATCAAATAATTTTTATCACTGACTAAAATGAAAAACCGTTGAAAAAGCAATGAAGAATGATATTATACCATGGTACATGATTTAACTTCCTTGACCGTGGAACAATAACATTAAAACACGATAAAATATCTTCTTACATTTTGTTTATGTTTATGTTTGACCACACTGTAAATAATCATTGATCGTCGAGTCACTACATAGAGTAAGATAGAGGAGGCGTTAGCTATTAAAACCATGTATCACAATTGAATCCAATCCGTTGGTCATTGACCCTAATAGAAGAGTCCAAGGAAGATAATTTTCTCCGTTGGTCGCGCTGTTTTCAACGAAAAGTATGTATAAACATATTACTTTTCATTCATTGAATACAGCGAAACTAGCGGAGAAAATTATCGTACTTGAACTCTTCATGGGGACAATGATCGACAGATTGGCTTCAGTTTTGATAGCTAACGCTGCCTCTATCTTATTCTATGAGTCACTACCACATGAGAGGATTGCGACAGTAATGTGAGCTAGTTTTTCGGAGCAGTTATCATGGCTGAAATTAACGATAGTTTCATTATCATCCTTTGTTTGTTATCACTAAATATAGTATAAAATCTATAATTATGATACAGAATTTAAGCTTTGACGTTATTAGCTCTATTAATATTTACAATGAATTAGAATATTCGTTATTTTTCAATTTACCTTATGACTTTGAAGTGTCATCAGATAGGGGGGCGGGGGAAATTGACCTCTCGGATGTATGGCGGACAAAACTATAATTTGAAAAATAATAAAAAATAGTTCCTGTGCCACTGGTCTTGATATTCTCTCAAATGTATACAGTACAATAAATTCTATGCATTTTGAGTCCTCATTTTTTCTAAGCTGAGCCCCTTGACGGTACTGTCAAGGTTAGCCCCAGTCCCACTTCTAATTGCGGCACAGTTTGGATGCTGAAATAGTTATAATTCTTATTGAACACAATTTTTTTATTGTGTTATAAGACCAGAATATTAAGTTTAGTGTCGTATATAGAAAAAACCAGTTATATAATATATTATTATATATACTATATTATAATATAATAAGTGCTCGAATTGGGAAAAATTAAGTAAAGGAGCTCAGTCCAACGATTTGAATACTGCGTTCCACGTGCGCAATTAGTTGACACAGAATCATGGGGGGCTTCGTCCTTCTTCCTCCCTCCACCAACCTTAAATATATTTTGAATACCACTTTTCAGCTAAACAAATATTTAAATTCCAAATACAATATATTTTGATAGCAATACGAACATCCTATATGTTACAATAGAAAATAAAAATAAAATAATAATTAACATAGGTAATTGTAGGCGATCAGGCAGTCTCATGAATCGAATGATATAATCATATATTTGATTTTTGTTTTTATCTATTTTTCCTCTTTAGTGCGGGCCACGGCCTTAAAAGATTAGTCTAAGGTCGTAGTGAGAGCATTTATTTTTTTCCGAAATGACAATATCGTCGATCGCCAATATTAATAACAAACCGTACAATGTACAAAGTATAATACACCAAATTCACAGACATTACTATTTATATTTTTCCAGAAATGACGACGTTATCCCTTATCATAACCACCATATAATCTTAAATTATAAAAATAGTTTTGTTATTATAAATCGTAAAATTTATTTTCCAAGTGACGTAAATTGAAATTCACATAAAAATTATTTTGGACATAAATTAGGATGAACGTGGCGTCCCCCCATTCCGATGAAAAAATATAGTTGGGGTACGCAAAAAAAAAAAAAATAGTAGAGGAGCTCCGTCTCCCCGCGCACCAACCCAATTCGAGCACTTGTTTTAACGACTTCACAGCTGAATACATAGATTTAAACGAATATCTGATAATTTTGTATCGTTCGAATCATATTATAGTTTTACCGGAATCGCAAGCAATATTTTTGTTTTAGATTCAGAGTGATGTGAACAACAGATGAGAATCGGTGAAATTCTTTGGTTCGATAAATACACCAGGAATTATTTCGGTCCAGTTAGTAAAATCTTCCTTGTGTTTTATAATTCACTTAAAATATTGGTCTACTGAGCAATTTCTCAACTTTCTGACACGTCAATCTTCCTTTGAAAGCTAACAGAATAAATTATTGGTTTTACAATAACGTGTTTTTTTTACATAAACTTTTTAGGGTAGTAAAAGTGTTCTGAAAATGTTACGTCTTATGTGACTATATAATTTAATCGATTCGAAATTAAACACAGATGGTACTTTTAAGAGGTAATTTTTTCAATTTTCCAGACAATCTTTACAAACGTTCCACATTGAATACATTGAATATATCTGTTAATGTCGCACGTTCTTAAAATTTACAGTTTAATTATATGACAATATAATTATTATATAACTACTCGTATATAATATTTTATATTGTATAATAAGTAGTTCTATATATTTTATTCGTGTATATACTGTACTACGAAATATATAATATTTGTTTCCCATAAGTAAAATTAAGTCCTTTTAGGTTATAATAAAACAAGTCCGAACGCCGACTGGTATTTTCGTTGGGAAGGGGGGACACCCCCCAAGACCACCCATTGAGACGGCCCTGCGTAACATACATTGCTACAAATTATTCGTGCTTACTATTCACTACAAATTACTATAATTCGTAACATAATTCCTAAAATAATCGTTCAAACGACTTCAAAGAAGAATTATATTTACCTATATCCGATATCCTTTCTCCTGTGCCTCCCCCGAAAGGCTGAAAATAAATTGGTGCCGCGTTATTTTCTCCACTTAACCTCTACAAACAAATAATGAAATGCCCTAAGAAGTTTCGTCAACGGGTGGTTTCTTTAACAACTCTACTTGTCGATGTAAATGTCTTCTTTAATCATTTATCTTTACTGTACAGTATAATAAAGTATATACATTATTATATGATATGAATATTTTATATTTAACAAAACAAATAGTAACAGATTTATAAAAAAGTTATTGTTGTACATCACATTATAATCATTTAACATAAAAAAAAAAAGTAGTTTTTATATGAAATAATAATTTCAATCTTTAACAATATAAATCTTTTTTCAAAAGAATGAAACACAATAAAAAGTATAAATTTGAAAAAGCTGAAATTTATACAAATGGAACAATAATAATTAATAAAATAAATAGAATATCAGCTTCAAAAAACAACAAAAAAAAAAAAAAAAAAAAAAAATAACAAAATGTTAATAAAGAATAAAAAATTAATAAAATAATCAAAAAACAACATTCATGGTCAATTTTGTTGCAAATAAGAAGAAAGAGTTTTTTCACGTTATTGTTGATAACCAAACAATTAACAGCAATAATGTCTTTATAAATGGATTCATCTGAAACATAAAATCACATTTAAGTTATAGCTTTAAAATAATAAAACATGTTCAATAAATTAGTTATATCTAAAATAAAAAATAAAAACTTACACATAAGTTTACCGATCGGAAAAAAGGAAAGTAAAGATTGACCTTGCTTTTCAAGAATTTCTGTATTATTAAGATCCTTGATATGTTCTTTTACATTTGAAAAAACGGACATTAAATCATCTATACTTTTGCCATTAAGTTTTGAACAAAACACAAAAGCATGACCCATTTCAATAGGTTTGATGACTCCGGTCTAAAAGAAATTGAAAATTAAAATTCAATACAAATTACATTGAAAAAATGGGAATAGATAATTTAAAAATTGTAGTTCATAAATTATAAATACCTTAAGGAACATATTAATAAGCACATAGAAAACACCAACATTAACTTGAGAGAGTAATGGATATCCAATTAACAAAAAACTGTCAAAAGCTTTAAGTTCCTTCAATGATTCTAAAATTGAAGTCAGAGAGTCAAGCTGTTAGACTATATACGAAAGAGTTAATTACGACTGTAGAAGAGAATAAAAAAAATCCAAGACAGTTCTTTGAAAAAAGTAGAAGGATTAAACAAGGATTCAAACCACAGACAAATATGATGATAAACGATAACACAGAACTAGTAACTGACAAAAAAGAAATAGCAGAGATATTTAAAACCCATTTTGAGAACTTCTTGAATAGACCCAAAAGTATATCAGATGAGAGAGAAGACATTATGATTACTGTAGAACCTAATATAGTAGAACCCATTAGAGAAGAAATAGCAAAGATAATAAACTCACTTAAAAACAATAAATCACCGGGAGAAGACCAGATAACAGCAGAGCTATTGAAACATGGAGGAAAACAAATGGTGAATGATGTGCATAAGGTAATTATAGAAATCTGAAAAACAGAAACCATGCCAAAGGAATGGAACACAGCAATCCTTTGCCCAATATACAAAAAAGGAGACCCAATGTTACCTGAGAACTACAGAAGGATATATTTACCACACACACGCTACAAAATGCTAACAACGCTCATAATGGAACTATTAAACTATTATGTAACAGACATAATAGGGGATTACCAATGCGGATTCAGTAAGGGTAAATCGACCATAGACCATATACACACAATTCGACAAATAGCAGAAAAACATTATGAGTATAATAAAGATCTGTACTTAGTATTTGTAGATTTTAAACAAGCATATGATTCAATAAGCAGGAATAAACTATGGAAAACAATGGAAAACTTTGGAATACCCTAAAAATACATAGCCCTAGTCAAAATGTGCAATAGTAACACCAACCTTAAAGTACGATTCTGGCAAGAAACGTCAACGCAATTTAAAGTACAGACTAGTCTCTGCCAGGACAATGCATTATCTCTAATGCTATACAAAATAGTCCTAGAGAAAGTGGTAAGGGATATGTCAGAAGATCGAAAAATGAACTTCAGTGAACTGAATGTTCTATTGGCATATGCTGATGACATAGTCATAATGGGAAACTCAAGAGATAATACTGAGATAATATTGAAATAGATACTCCTTTTTTCAGAAATAAGCTCAACAGTAATTTCTTTGAATGGCTTAAAAATGCTACAATAATGTTCCATTACATCAAAATCATCGGGTAATAAATTTTCAACTTTACCAATAAGTGCTATTGTAGATATTAAAAGATCTTTAATATCTATACATCTTTGGAACATATCGTATGTACTGTTCCAACAGGTAGCAACATCCTAAATTAATTTAAGTAAAGATTGACCAATTTGTGTTTCTGTTTGTTTTAATTTATTATAAAATGTTGTTGATCGTTTAAAAAATTCTACAATACTTTTAACTTTTTTGTGAAAATTTTGTATGTCTGATATCCCACTTTGTGCAATTAAATTTATGCCATGTGCCAAGCATGGCATATAACACCAATTTGAATTTAAACTTATTGCACATGTAATAATAACCGCGTTATCGCTAACAGCGATTTTTATTTTTTCGGATATTTCCCACTCATCAAAACATTTATTCATAAATTCAAAAAAATTAATTGCAGTTAGGGCTTGTTCGAAATAATCATAATTATCATGATTCTTTACTGCTCGTCAATTGTTAGCGATTTATTCATAGAATGATTTTGGTATAAATGCGTCCATCATTGTTTGAGATTGGGAGGTTTTAATAGAAGTATGTGTTATTTTAGAAGTCAAAAATGAAGATGTCGGTAGTTGGTTTTGTGTATCAGAAGTATTTTGCTGAAAAAAAACTATATTAAGGTCATCAATATTTTACTCCAGATCAAGATTGTCAGTTTTTTCAGTACAAATTTTTTCCTAACATCATATTGTATAACGTGTTTTCTTTTTAAATGCCTACTGAGGTTTGCGGATGAACCACGGAGAGTAGATGTGTAACATGTCACTGGAAAAATAACATTATTATTATAATAAATAATGAATAACGTGCCCTTTACAGATTATCACCTTCTATCGCCAATAGTCTAATTATTTCTAAATAATCATTATCAGTTTTTATTTTTCAAAAATAACTTTTGAAGAATTGTACAAATATTTGGTTTTCGAACTATCGTGGCCAATAAGTCTGGTTCGATAAATATTTTCAAGTTCGATTTTCGAACAGTAAAAAATGCTTGATAATTCGATTTAATTTTTTTCATGCCGAGTTCGAATTTTGAACCGAACTTAACATCAAAGGTTTGATTCGATTTGGTTCGAGATTCGAACAGTTCAACCCATCACTAATTCCTATTTGAAAAATTGTATTTTACTGCGTTTTCACCTATATAAAATAGTTAAAAATTAGAATGTATCAAAAAAATTTGTATTTATATGTCTGTAGGCAGTAAAAAAAAACCCGAATCAAATTCAATGTCATACATTGAAAAATTTCCTGTTACATTTAAAATTGAATACATGGTATACCGTTTATTAATAATTTTAGTACTCAAATTTAATTTGGAATTTAAATACATATTGAAAATCCTTGCAACTTTAGGGTGAATATTTTATCAATATCATTGGTATTTATTATAAAACTAACCTACAGTTTGGACATTTTTTTATATGTATAAATTAAATTAGAATTCAAATATTGCCATTCCCTCGATTCAGTTATCAAAATATATTTTTTTATATTTAAATAAATGTCAACCATTGTTTACATAACAGAGAACATAAGGAAAATCGCAGTAAAATACAATTTATAAATAATATTTTTACTTTAATTGTAAAAAAAAAAGCTTGATTTGAATGGTCAAATTACTGCGGGTGATCACATGATTAGAATACTAATTATTATCTTTTTGTATAGATTTTATTGATAGTGCCCCACTATCTTGTCATTCTTAACTGACCTTTTCTTGAAAAATAAAAATGCAAATTATCTTAATAATCTTATTCTCAATATGTGGTAACTCCTCGTTAAATTTTTTGGAATTCTAATACTACTTCTTTCCCGATTTGAACAATATTGTACCGTTTATGAATGCCTAATATTATACATTTGTCATCTTATTCTCCTTCGCATTTCTTTCAGTTATATAGAATCAGCCACCGTTGTCCTAAACATCCACTCATCTCGATTTTCTACATCCCCTTTGCACACAACAATAGTAATCTTATCATTCTCAATCATATCCAACATAATTATTCGAATTATTTGAATAATAATATACGTATATAATATGCACAAATAAAGGGGAAACATTATAAAGAATCTACCTTTTTTTTTTATAATCACTTCTTTTGATAATGTGTACTGTGAAAGTTTTGAATATTTAGAAAGTCGATCCTTGATAATAATTGTAAGCTTTAAAATTTAATTTTTTGAATTTTCTTTTTTTTTTTTTAGATATCACTATAAAATAATAATATCAATGTTTGTGAAAAATTATTTAAAATTTTACAATTCATGAAATTATCAAAAGTAAATTTTTTTTTTTTAGTAATTTTGTAACAAAATTTGTTTTTACTCGTGACTATTTTTGAACAGCATGTATTGTCGTTTGAAATTATTAACATATGTCTTATATAATACATTATATAATATATAATCATATTAAGATATTATTAAAAAGATTTAAATGTTAACTTGAGTTTTTTAGATTTTTATGTACGATATATTTTATAAAACTTGAAAAAACGTCTTTTTTATTAAAGTTTTTATAAGTATTTTATAATTGGACAAAGCTGTATAAAAATTATAAAAATCTGTTTGTAGTTTAAAATTTATAGAAATTTTAAGTTTTTCAATTGTATATTGATTTAAAATTTATCAGATCAATCCACTTATGTCAGTCACATATTTTTGTATCTCACATCACATGATATTTTACCTGAAAATATTAATAATGTCAGATAAAAAAAAAAAAAAAAATCTTTGTTTTTTTTTAACTTTATTTTTTGACAATAGTACAAATTTTATTTATAATTTAATTTATATACGTTTTTTATTGTTATTATCAATCTAATTAAAAAAAAAAAAAAAAAAACTATTATGCTTTAAAGTACTATTTTTTTGATTTGTTATAGTACATTAAAATACAATAGTTTTTAAGTTATATAATAATACATTTTTATTTTGTTGGTTTGATTTAATTCACATTCAATGTAAATAATAATATATTATAATAATTCACAACTCAAAACTCACAAAACGGTATAGGGTACTATAATTATAATAACTTCTATGTAGGCAAATAGGTGTCCATTGAATGTGGTCAGTTGTAATAATATGGTAATTACGATGTAATATAAAAAGAAAAATTCGATACAATTTCTGTTTTTAATTGTATAACCATAAGTTATATAAATACTGGGCAGTAATATATATACATTATTACATTTTGACTAGATTTCAAAACTTTTATATCATCAAAATAGTTCACGGCAGTTTTAGGAGTGTAGGACATCTAAGTTAATGATAAAAGTTTTAAAATGTGTATTACATTATTGAGAACATCTTTTGTAGGTATACACATTGTCCTTTTCTTATTAAAGCTTCTTTGTACAAGAGTCATACGATAAAAAAGTTTCTTTGTCACTTTGAACACTCCTTCGTAATATAATAAGTACTTGTCGACTCATTTTTAGTCCCTGCTTTAAGGAACATATAATCAGACCTAAGACATAATAAAATTACCGAAAATAAATTCTACCCCCCCCCCAACCTTTCACATTCATATATGAGATCATTCATTCGAATATTTGTATAATTTCTAATATACTAGTAAAATGCATTGGAAACGAGGTTAAAACAGATAGCAACCAAAAATAAAAAAAATAAAACACTAAAACGGAAAAATTTTAAGTATCAAGTATCTTGTTTTACTTATAAGTCTTAATTTATATTTTCATATAATGTATACACTAAAAAAATCATTTTCGTTAAAAATCTGAAAACTTCTTAGTATTTTTAGTAAAAATTGACTTTTATCGATTTTAAACTTAATTCTGTTATATTAGGTTTGGATTTTAACAATTTACATCATATTAATATTTTATATTAGGTATTTATATATAAGTGTAAATATTGAGATGTTAAATTTATTTTTGATATCTAATGAGTTATGCTTATTTAACTCATCGAACTCTTATTGCTAAGATTTATCATTAGAATTCAGTATAATGAATAGAAAATTATTAACTTCACAAAAATATACACAAATTAGTCAGTAAATCGTTATGCTTGCAAACCTTTTTTATTACAGGTGAAATATTCAAAGGAAATTCAGCAATGAAAATATTAAGGCTATGTAACATCGTAACATAAACCGATTGTTTTTGTTTCCCTGTAAATTTTGCTGCGATTTATTAAAAAAATTTCAAAATTTAAACATTCAATTTTCATTCAACTCGTAGTATCATCTGTTTCCAATTTATGATCAATAATTAATAGACATAATATTTTGTTAGATATATATGAATAAAATACTTGTTAATAATTATATTTTAAATCAAAATATAAATGTTAATAAACCAAAAACACACAACATTGTAAAAACAAACATCGATTATTATCGTATTTCCTGAATTTAAATGAGTTATAGTGGATTAAAACTCTATAACCGACTATAAATGAGAAAAAAAATCATCTTACTTGCATATAATTTACACTTGTGATTATTTTTGTACTATAAAATAAATAAAATACTTATATTTTATGGTGTTCGCACTAGTAACGAACGTATTTTAATCGACTTCACAATAAAGTATGTTAGATGCTCAATGAAAATATGAAACTAAACGTGTTTTTAGCATATTTAATTATGTAAAATGTTATTTTTCAGTCATGAGATGTGTTAATATAATTTTCAATTAAAGTTGATACTATGTGATGTTAAAAATGTAAAAAAAAATGTAAAAAAATTCGAAAGTCATTTTGTCCTAATTACCTAATCTTTACCTAACCATGCAACATAGATGAACCACACTATATGTACCGCCCACCTATATACCCGTATGTGACATCCCTAACTTATCTATTTATTATTTTATGGTATTAGTTTATTAGTATATACTAAAGTATTATTATCATACACCACCAAAAAATCTATTTTCGCTGAAATCTCGTTCGCCATAGTTAGATGTTTGGAAATGTGCGGAAAATATTGTGCGTCTGTCCTAATCTCTAAAATTGCTAAACTTTTTATTTTGTATTTATATAATAATAAACACAACGGGTATACATTTATACAGAGTGATTTTTTTTCAGTAAGCAAACTATCATTATATCGGTCTATTGTGTATTGTTCAAACATATTTTATTGAATATTCTTAATCAGAAAATTAATCTTAGAAGTTTGAACAATAAATAAGTATAATATTGAACTAATTGATGGTTATGTATGTATAATTTACAAGTAGAAATGATCGATACTGTATTCGATTTTATGAAGCACTCGATATTTATATTAAGTTTCAGGATTCAAGAATATCAGAATCGAGATCGATTTTAATATTTATTTCAATACAAATGAGTATAAAATATACAAATCACTAATATTCACGGTAGTAAACATTATTATGCAATATATCGAAATAAAATTTTAAAAAGGTATAATCAAGACTCGACATTTTTTGTATCCCTACATGAAAATTATGAAATGTACGACGAGTAGAGCGAAATATGACAGTAAATAAGATAACCTAACAGCAAAATTTATAACATAATTACTTCAAACCAGGGATAACTGAGTTTTTAGAAATCACTGACCAAAATCGAATAAAAATTCACCTGTACACAGTATATAGCGGAATAGTCGAATTGCACTTATTACCTACAAATAAATGGTCGAACTGCACTCCAGTAAAAAGCAGGTAGTGATCGAACTGCACTCGTTCAAAAAAGAGTTATAATGGAATACCCTCTAAAAATATTATTAATCTTTCTGTTGAAGAACGCTACAACGTACTTATTTAATAGCATTATAAATTAGTTCGTTCCATTTAGATAATGCAGATAATATTATATAATAATAACATATATAATCAGAAGCGTATTACCAGGGTAGAATCTTTGAATACAGTTAGTCATTACTACAAAAAATTATAATAATGAAAATAATTAAATTTGACGATTAAAAAAAAAAATGTATACCTAATAATAATAATATGTATAATATAACATAATATAATGTATAATATAACAATTATAATGTAAATATATATAATTAAGGCTTTGTACCAGAATAATTTTTTCGGGTTTCGGGTTTCGGGTGTTCAAACACCGTAATACAACATTTAAACAAATATTTGGGTGTTAATAACCGTTATTATTCGGGTTAATATTGGTTAATATGGGTTTTAAGTAGTCAAGGAAAAATATTATTTTTCGTTGGTGGAGGATGATGGGGAGGCTGAGCCCCCTCCACTAATGAAATATTTATATTTTTTGTTACCTGCCTATGTAATAAAATATCAATTTCTTATACAACTGTGCAACAGTTTTTTAGACTAAACTATCATTATGTTAATTTCAAGCAATGGTGTAACTACGATTTATTTTTGGGAAGAGGGGGTTGTTTTATATGTGTATGAAGCTTATAAATTATATTATCTATTAAGATTAAAAATACTAACACTATGTCCTACTCCTAGTTAATGCGGGCATATCGCATGCGACAAAAAACAAACTATTTTGTATTCTGCGTTTGTGTTTGTTGCATATGCGGAAATCGGGGGTGGGACTTGAGGGGACTAAGCTCCCCCCAAAAAAAATTACAGGTCTTAGCCCCCTAGCATTAAAAATTGTTAAATGACTAAAAATACAATAATTATTATAATTGTAAAATACATTTTCAATAACTGAATTAAAAAAAATATATTCTATGATAAAAATTAAATCAAATTTGTAAGATTTTACAAACTTGTTGTCATGACTTGGAACGATCGCAATTAATGTAATATTAATAATATGTAATATTACCCGTACAAGGTTGTTTAATTTAATTAATTAATAATTTCTGTTTAGAATACCTACTCCAAAAATGTTTAAGATAAGGCACTTAATTGTTTTTTTGTTTAGATTGTTGATTGAAAATGTCAAATTACCAAACTTCGTAAATTGCCTTGTTGTAATAAATAATTGTGCACAGTGGTATTTATAGGTGTAATAAGCAAATAATGCTCAGCCCTCCCACAAATTTCACCAAATTTCCGCTTATGTTTTGTGGTGCGTGCACACACTAAAAACGCACTTGCTAGAACATAGCGTAATACAAAAATAATAATAATTTGTAATTATGAATGTTAGGATGCAATTATTAAACCAACAAAAATTGAAAATTCACGCCATAGACATGTGTATACATGCCATACGGTGAACAAATACGAATAAAGCGAACAACAATTTAGGTAATCATACGCGAGACATCAGTTCTATTTCAAACTTACAGTATTGCAATAAATAACGACTCGGTGATTCGTAGAAAACCTATATTACCTATTAAATTATAATAATACAACGTATCCTCTAGGGATAATTTTAAAAATAGTATCCCAGTTGTTTTCACTTGAACATTCAACATACCATACCATTCATGTTAATATGATGTATTGCTATTGTCTTTATTTTGATAAATTTATATTAATTAACAATTTTGTATATTATTTGTGAAATTATTCCTGTGAATAATAATTTTACTATTAAACAACTAATGACAAAATTGAAATAACCACAAAAATACATACAAAATGATATATCACATAAAGATTGTAAAAAAAAAATTATTCGAGTTTCGGGTTAAAACCAATATTTTATTCAGGTTTTGGTTGATTCGGATGTTTAAAAAAAAAATCATTCGGGTTATATGGATTTTGTGTGTTTCATTTTTTAAGGGTTCTTAAGGGTGTACGGGTTCGGGTTAATTCGGGTGCAAAGCCCTGTATATAATTAACATATAATAATGTTATAATAAAACAATAATTTTTAACCACGCTAATGATTACTAAATGGTAATAAATGTAACTAAATAAAATAAATCTAACCCCTTCAAATGCATGATAATTTTATTGAAATACTTTTTTGAGCTCAAGTGCAGTTCGACCACTACCTGCTTTTTACCCGAGTACAGTTCGACGATTACCTTTTTTATACCCAAGTGCGATTCGACTAAAATAAGTGCAATTCGACCATACCCGTATATAGGCTGACGAAAAAAAAGTTACGTCCATTCACACACATATACCTAAGTTAATATTATATGCATACACCGATAATGCACGTATACGTAAACGTACTTTTTATAATATTATGTATGTACATTTTTGCCGAGGGATAACCGTGTGGATCCCTCGAACAGTCTTTAAATTACCATCATTTAATTTTTGTTTATTTTTTTATTGTTTCGGGCCATATCTCATTAATCTTCTTCCGCGCACGCGTATACATCCTGTCCGTGCGTATTGCATCGGGAGTCGGTACTCAAGGTGTCACTCTTGAGGTAAGCGTCCACAGGTTCGCGTCGTACGCGTCAGACGGATCGTACGAAACGGATTTCGGAACCATTTGTGCATTAAGCCAGCACAAGTGCATCCACCGACACGCATCACAGCCCGTCGGGGATACCGATGAAATTTCGGACTGACGTCAAATGACGTCGTACGGGAATACGAAATCAAACAACAATTGTGTTGTTAAAAATCGTATTATAAATGGCTGTCGCCTGGCTAGTCTGATTGCTGCGAACACAGTGAATGTACTGCCGCTAAGCGGTCTGTCTGTTACGATCCGACCGATACGTACGATGCAAACCTACGGACGCGAACCTTTAATTGCGTGTACACGTATAGAAGCGATACGAAACGTAAATCGTGCACATCCATGAAAGTGAGGAGTACCATCGATGGCGGTTGGCGGTGAAAGTGGTTGCCAGAAGCTTACGGACGGCGAGGGTGGTTGCAAGAGGCTGGTGGGTGAGAATAGGGAGAGAGAGATGATGGAGATAAAACATAGGGAACACACACCACCACCACCTCCACCACCAACACCCCGGTTATCACGCGCGGAAGTGCGGTGGTTGCCTGCGGGTGTTCCATTTGCACTTGAGTATCCGCACATAGGTCATGCGGAACGTGGCGTTGCATAGGGCGTAACACACCGGGTTGATGGTACTGTTGATGTAGCACAGGTAGTAGAAAAAGTCCCACACGCCCTGCGTCACCCACTCCTTGCTGTTATCCGGTTCGCCAGCCTCGCCACCACCCGTGGCCGCGGTGAACGGTTTCAGCAACACCAGTATGTTGTACGGCGTCCACGTGATAATGAACGTCAGCAGGATGGCCGATAACGTTTTCGCCGCCTTCCGTTCGCTCTTCTTCTCCTGAAACTTTTTCTTCTTCTTCTCCTTGGCTTGCAGCGCGGCCCCCTGCGCCCGTGTCAACTGCTTCGGTTGCAGTATCTTCGCCGCATTCAACGGCAGCCGCATGTCTTGCGACGACGGCCTGCGTGACATCGGACCTGCCCCGCCACTGCCTATCCCATGCAACCGTCTCGACTCTTCGTAACACCCGTGGTACTGTTTCACCGTCGGCGCGTCTTGGTCACTGTCGCCTGGTAACTTTATCACGATCGTGTACACCTGTGTCGCAATCGAACAGAATAAACATATATGATATTAGAAAAACGGTTTAGCACAAACTGCAATACAATTATTTTTGTTTTTAATATACATAATTTGCAAAAACGGCACCGTTTTGAAATCGAGACTACCGATGTAGTACATATAATTGTATTTGTACCATTTTTGATACCTCTTACTGTAGCCGAATGAAAATAAAAGAGGCATGTAATATTTTTGTTCTGCGTACGAATTAAAATTAAACAGCGAAATTTGAAAACTCTTTTATGTTCAAAACCATAAGTACTACAGTATAAGTGTTTTATATAATATAATATGGAGAATACAAGGTTTTAAATTTTATTTGAATTTTATTAAGGTTTCGAAGGGGCAAAGTGACCCAAGTTTCTTTTAATAAGTATTTTAAAAATTAAATCGAAATGCAAATGATTGAGTTTGGATTTTTTTTACTATAACTTCTCTTACAACAACAAATGCTAGAATTAAGTACATGTTCTTAAATCAAACCATATGATAGATCAAATAGCTCGAAGATCGAAGAACAAAGAAATCTTATATTGGTATGGTTAAGTATTTAATAATAGTTTAAAATGTGCCATATATATATATATATATTTAGTATTTACCAGTAAAAGCTAATTGTATGAACTACAACATCACAAGTATGAGGTGTTTGTGTTTAAAACTTAAAATAGTTCTTAAATATTTTTTTCAGGAGCTGTTATGTTTCTACAAAAACGTACAGAGCCCCAAAAATCAGGAATTTCTATTTGAAAGAATAATAATAGGTACATAAAAAATGATTCACACATTTCTATATATATACGCAGGGGTATGCCGAGAGGGGGGAGTTTGGGTATTCAAACTCTTCCCCCGAAACGTTGACAAATTTATTATAAAAAAAAGTATAGCTTAATATTTTTATAATATTTAAGTTTAATATTATTATTATTTGCCAGTGTTATTTATATAGTCCATTGTCGATCTATCTAGTACTATAAAATTATTTATTACCAAAAATTATTAACTCGTGAATAAATATATTGTGAATATATACATTTAAATTTCATGGTAGTATAATAAAATTATTGAAACCCCTCCTCTACCCTAAATGGCAAATGTCTAGGCACGTCCCAGTATACACGAGTATATTTTTACATGGCAGAACTTCGAATTAAAATTAAATGTATATAATAAAACATAACGTTTCCTGTAAATCTTATTTGAATTTAATGACTTCTTTAGTACGATGTATGCAATTGTATAAATATATTAAATTAAAAATCAATTGTTTTGCACTGCAATTAGAAATTGAAAATGTCCACAGCCACAGACTGGAAAATATTCCTACATATTATACATTAGATAAATTTAATATTCTTGCGAAATGTTTCCTTTGCCACAACATAATTATGCAAAATACTGAAGTTAACGGGCATTTGATCTCTTTTATTTATTTTTGCATCTATGAAGGTATTAAAATAGACAAGAATAGATTAAAAAAATGTTTTTCAAATATATTTAACAATATTAAATTAAATTTCTAACTCGGTAGAGTACATATGAGTTGTCATAATCGACATATGAACATATAAAAAAAATGTGGTATTAACATAGCATTAACACTATAACTGTAATGTAGTACAGTAATGTACTTGGGGATATTCTCATAGGAGATTATATGTAATTTCTTTCTCAAAATAGAATACTCGTTTTATGTATATTTTCTCGGCTCATTTTAATGATATTGTAGAATATAAAAATAGATTAATAGTAGTAAAATGGGTCATATAAAACTACTTTGGAGACCTAAGACCCTTATTTGAGAACAGAGCTTAAGAAGTAATTACGTAAGCCTAGAAATATTGAAGTTCCTATTTTTATCCCAACTAAGATTTTAAAATTTATTTATTTATTTTAATTTAAGTAAATTTTCTAACGGTATATATATAAATAATAATAGTTAGAGATTCTAAACGAATTTGGTATATTCACATTGATACACTATTCACGTTCATGTATGTCAGTTGCTAACCATATATTTAATTTTTTATTTTTAAATAACATATATATTATTTTTGGCTTACATTTTAAATAAGAGAACTTAATATTTCTAAAAATGTCACACACAATATAAATTTAGGTATGCATTATGCGAACTAATCGAATTTATCAAGGATTTTAAAAATAGACTTTAATCCATCACGAGATTAACACAATATGATCAACAAAATCCTTTGCTGGATTTTTAACTTTCAATTTTTCCCACCTTTGGTATTATGATTGCGAGTATAAGCCACATAGTTCAATACCTATTGGATTAATGTTACTATATTATTTTGCACATGTGGTAGGTATACAGCAGAAATTAAAACATTTCTTGCACTGTGTCTGAAATGCCATTGAAGCTATTTCACGCTATACGTGTGGTCCAAACGTAATGGTGTGCTCGTGCTTACCGAGTCGTTGGACAAGGACCGGTTAGTCAGCCGGTTATTATTGTTGACCACGTGACAGGATTTCGACGGCGGCGGCGTAGTGCAGGGCTGCTGCTGATGGATGACGTTCAAAGACGTGGACCTGGACACGGTCGTGCCGTAGCTGGTGCCTCCCGGCACATCGCTGGGCGTCTGATCGTCCTCCTCGTCGTAATCGTCATCGCGGCCCGAGTACCACCAGTCCACGCACCAATCGCGTAACCACGACCACGTCAGAAGGCGTCTCGCTTTCTGTAACACGCCCAGGGGTCAATACTGAATGGATATCGCATTGCCCTGCAAGACTGTATCGCGAGCACAATGAAAATAATATTACGGTTTCGCAATGAAATTATGATCGATAATGTCTTGCACATTGCAATAAATTTAGTTTTATTAAATTTATTCATTAAGATTAGCAAATGTTGAAATTTCAGTGATACTTTGTTTTCATTTATCATTATTGGGTAACTCGATGACTAGATTATATTATTAAACAATGGACAGTAATTTGATAACTTTATTGAGTAGGTACCATAAAAAAATTACAAATTTTCGTTTAATTTATCTGATTACATATTAAATATTATGAGTATATAGTACAGATCAAGGGCGGCCAAACGATCGATCGCGGACGATTTCAGAGTCGATCATGTTAGAATTTATTTTTAGGTCACATGCACGAAAATTAATCGTGGTGATTATGAACAAATTGTCGGTAAGTTTTATCTGTATAGTTTTTATCTTTTATTCTGGTTTATAAAATAATTATCCAAGAAAGTCGATCTTCAAAGGTGAAGTATATTTTTAGTAAAATGTGACCAAAAAAAGTTTGGCCGCCTCTGGTATAGATTAAGCAACTTAATCGGTCAGAATTAAATTTAGGAAATATAACTGTTAACTAGCCGAATAATAGAAAAATAAGTAAATATAATCAAGATATATAAAAGTTCTTTTGAGTACAAACACTGATTTGGAAAACACTATAAAATAAAAATCATAAATAACATAAACATTTTTAATTCATTATGTAAATCGAATTATTTTCTATCCGTTAATGATTAAACTAATTGCATTTTCAAAACTTAAATATTTATAACACGAATTACATATATTAAATATCATGTTTATTAATTAAACAACATCAATAAGTTTATATTTAATAATATACCTGTATGTCTCTTACATTTAATCAATTTTATACTTTTGACATTTCATTGAGCCATTGGTTTTAATTTGAGTCTTAAATTACAGTTTCAGATCAGTAGTTCTAAACCTTTTGGACACTACGGAATAATTATAAAACTTTTAATACATCACGGACTACCTGAACTGAAGACCTTAATGTTCTTATAAACAAGAATGAATTTTTTTCACATATTTTAGAATTTAATTTATGAATAAATAAAAAATAATTGAATTTTTATAATGGATTTATAATAATTATAATCCTACTATAAGAAATAGTTTTATTTATGATATCATATAAAAATAAATTATATTATTAATTATATTATTATAACAAATTGTTGTTCGATTTTAAGTAAAAGTTTAAAATTATTAAAAATGTAACACAAATTACTATTATATAAAAAATGTACATTATATTATTTTATTTATTAAAAAGTAACTTACAATTATAAAAATAATTTAATGGGTTTTTTAGGCTTGCATTTATCTAACTAACAGAGTATTCTTTGGAGAATACTGCTTAAAATTATACGCATGTCTCTTGTGGCGTGCAACTGATTTCTTCGTTTATTTTTAATGTAGTGCAGTAATAATGTAATAGTATAATAATAATTACCATGCATCAAATATCTTCAAAATGTTGAAAATTAAATACACTTAAACGGGTAAATAGTTAAAAACTATTTTAATATAAATTGTTTAGACATTGATAGTAATTATTATTTTTTAATAGGAAAATTTTAACTTAACAGTTGTCTAACATATGTTAAATCTCTGTTTATAAATTTCTGCAGTCACGACCTCCCTATGTGTCAAATACATACATTTTAAGATTACACGTTACCACCATAAATTATTCTGAAATACGAAAATTTTAAAAATTTCTAAGAATATAAATTAATACATTTTTCAAAAGTATCGCGGAATCTTTTCGTTGGGCGAACAGTGATTACTTTCGGTAATTCGTATACGTTAGCAAATAGTACAAATAACATCAAGTTTTCATTTCTATAAAACTTTAGTTGTCTAGTTTTTAATATATTGTTGTACAATAATTGAGTACCGCAAAGATATAAGATAGTTTTGCATACAAAAATGACAAATCTTCATGACATATACATTATACATATAAAAGATGAAAATAGAGAGAGATACTTGTGTGACTTTGATCGCCCAAATATTTCAGTAGACTCCTATAATATTTAATAATTTTTCCATTTATGATTTATTATGCGTTTGGCCTGCAATGAGACCAATTCCCCTTCTCTTCCTTCTCACTATGGAAATGACGCAGATCCGTCTATGATAATATATTTGGTACGAGTCACTGGTCATCCCAGGGGAAATTCACGATTAATATGCTCCATACAGACTCGTCTCGATAGTCATCCGCGTTCGTTATAATCAATCGAAAACGAATTCTGAACTTCCACGAAAAGCGGAACTGTGCCTACTAACGATCATCATCGGCTGATGATTGATTTCCTCCGCCGGTCATTAAATAATATGTTTTCGTGGTTAATATAAATTTATTATTATTGTTTGACAGCCATATATACATTAATCGTGTTTTCACCAAACAACAAGAGACTCGTGGTTGCAATTATCAAATACAATTAGAGTTCAGAGCTCTCGGTTTTATAGGGACATATATGTATGTAAGGGTCGTAAAAATCCATTGAGTCGCGTCGCTAAAGTAAATAATAAATATTGAAGGAAAAATTTGATGGATTTTGCATTATTTCATTTTTTTTTTTTTTTAACAAATTCTTTGACAAAATTTTCCTTTCATAATAAATTTAAAGTATAATTTTAATAAATAACCTAATTCTTAATTTTAATAAATAATATAATTAATAAATTATATTTATTGTAAAATCAAAAAATTTTTAATTATGTATTGAACTATAATCGATAGAACAATATTGCTTATCTTGCAATCTTATTAATGATTTCAATTTCTAACTGCTTACACCTAATTTCAGTTCCTTTAAACTAAAAAACAGAATCGTTATATATCGTTATATCAATCATAAAATAGATAATAATATACTAAATATGAGTCTGAGAACTTAACAATTTTATATATCTGACGTATTTCTCATATGTTGACAGACACGTCGGTATTGCTATACATTGAACATATATAGATGATGTGGATATATATAATGTCTTTGTTAGTAATGTAGCAAAATATTATAAATAATTACCAATGAACACTGCGAGTACGCTTTGCGCAACGAACTAGTCTCATACATCTCCCGTTGATCCAACGAATTAGCTTGGTTCGATTCGGACCGTATGTGACCCCACGATTCCTCGTGTTGATGATCGCTGAAAATGAATAAAATCACGTCATATTATTATAATACACAAGCTTCAATATTTTTTTAAAAATATTATTATTATTATATTATCATGGAGAACAGTGTTTTATGCCATATTTATAAAAATCTCACTTGTGTGGTTTGTTCATGGCTTGCAGATTCGGCAAGTCTTTTTGTCTCTTTTTTGTCTCTCTGTATATACGAAAATATAGAAAACACATGACCGTTACTGGCACATAAAAGGCCGCGATGGCCGTACCGAAAGTAATGTACTGATTGGTCAGTATGAATTGAATATAACACTGTGTTTCGGGTACGGTCCGGCGACCTTCTATGATAGGCCACAAGTAAATCCACGGTGGCCACAAACCGAGAGATATGATCCACGCGGCCGCTGAAAAGAAATAAAAACATTTATTATTCTGATCAAGTTCGAGTGTTGATGAAACGCACATTAAGAGTAAATTCCGTTTTTGCGGCGCATAACAGTTTAAGAAGTTTCTCATCCTATATATATATTTATATGTACGTATAGCACAGTGTACGGGTTTTCGTGTTTTTCAAGATTAATACGAAAATAATTTAATAGTTTGTTAGAACCGTAGGTGGGTGAGTGTTGAACAAAATATATTCTCAACAACGCCTAACGGTCACTTGAAACCACTTTGAGCGTAAGTCCCGTTTCGCTAATGAATATGAAATGACTATTACGATTTTTTTAAAAAATTATTCAAGTATATCTGAACGATGATTATGTTGTTAATATAATTATATTTTCAATGCGTTATCTCAGACCGAAGTAAAAGCCGTTAAACAATACTCCACAGTAAACAAAACGGAATACGCTTTGAAATATTTTTCGCTAAAGCATTTGGAAGAACACTAGGACAACCAATTAAAATAAAAAAATATTATACATATTGATATATAAATTCTACAATAAGTATTTATATTTAATAATATTTATCATAAAAATTTGAAAATTGAACAAAGAAAGTTTTTATTTAATTTTATCAATCCACCATTGGTATTGCGTAAAAATCAGTAGTCGAGTAATTATATTAATTATGGGTTGTATATTAATCAGTTAATTATATTTACTATACCTCATAAGTTTACTTAAATTCCTCATAGGAAAAAATAACATTATGACTTAATGATCTTTAGTTCGATAAAACCTATTAACAAATAAATTAATTTGTAATAAAAAATAACCATTTATTTTTATTTTTATGGGGAAAATAATAATATTATGTATTACATTTCCAGCACTTTTTGTCATGGTATATTTATGTATTGAATACTTATATTTTTCTTATATTTTTCTTATATTTTTAATTTATTCTTATAAAATTATATTATATATATATTTAATTGTATATTTTGAAGTCAAATTACTATTCTAAAAAATTGAATACTTCTATAAAAATACCATGCACAAATGATTTACAATAATAAAAAATATTTTTTTCAAAAACACATACATTACAATTTCTCATTGCAAAATAATTCATTAATATTATCAAATTTTAATTAAATATAACTGCTATAATTTTGTAGATCTATACAGTTTAATATAAATATATAAAATCTATTTTATTTAAAAATTTAAATACTTCCAAATATAATATTGAAATACTTTTTTAATTTCTAAAACTTCATCAAATTAATTGTCACTTCTTATAGTATTAAACAAATATAATAATTATATTAAAAATCAGCAAAGAATTTGTTTTTTAAATTCTTTAAAATTTTTATTTACAACAAGATCTTACAGCCTCAAACTTATATCTCAGAGGCTCAGGCAAAATACGCCGTTAAAAATATCAACATTTTAAAAAGTGCTTTCCGCTAAAAAAGTGTACTTAGCACATATGGTTGTATAAAACATGTGTGCAACTTACATTCACATATGAGATATTATATAATGTTTTGTGTTATTTGCGACTGCCTATCAAACTATTCATTAATCAATTTAACAATGACATCTTCATTACGGTTCATATAATCTGACTTGCTGTCTATTAATGGGACTCCATTCGGTGCGGATGTATATTGCAACCGCGTACGTCTACTCATGATATGCGGTATACCTTCAAGTAATAATATATTTATATATATTTATATATATATAACCTATAATACGTGACGTAGATTGAAATCGACATCACATGGTATTATAATAATATCTATAGAATAGGTGTATAGTTGACGACGTGAAGCACTCATGGATTAAAATGTAATTTTTATTGTTCGCGAGGAATCCGTAGGCACATAATAATGCAAATGTATCTATATGCATAGTAAATTTTACGTGAATTCAGCGAACATTGCAAAAATACACGATTGACAGTGTCGTCAACTTATTCTTATTTTACATGTGTTAAGATTTAATATAGTATGAACTTAAATCGTATATGAATTTAATTTTTAGATTTACGTTTGAATTTTATCATAGCAAATCGTGTATTATCATTTTATAGTGATAATATGATAGATAATTTAAATCAAACATGTTTAATGTATTCAATTATTGACATCCATTATAAGGTTAAATTATAAATATAATATCATTAAACTAGTTTTTTAAATAATTGATCATTTAATTATTTTTGAAAAATACGCAAAGTTAATGTATTGAATAAGATATCCATTTTATGGAAATAGGGATTTCACTAAATAAGAATATTTTGTGTAATATAGAAAACAATAACGGATAATAACACCAAGCATGTTAAGATTAAATATTCATTCTTAAAAAAAGTTGTCAATTTACTATTTTTATACTTGAGAAAATAATAAATTATTTAATAAAAACATTACACAATACACAAATATCAATATAATAATGATTTTAAATAGGCCAAAAATAATAAAGTAGTGAAAGTATAAAAGTTTGTCGAGACATTTTTTAGAAAACTATTTTTTAGGTGAAAAGTATATGCAGCATTTGCTTTATTATTTAACTTTCGCGAAATAAGTTGATCAATAATTACAGTTATCAGGTAAATAATAAAGTACATAATACGCAGAAACCTAGAAAAGTCTTATTGCAAAAAATACTCAACGAGCTAAATTTTACATACATTTCTTATTTGTTGACCTTATTTTCGACCAATTACCAACAGTTTTATTCAAAGTTTAATTTTGATATTTTACACTCATTTACACTAGAATATCGTATTTTAAAGTTTGAAAGGTTGGAATAATTCTTATCGAGAACCTCGCAGTACATATCAAATAACATACATAAGTTCAAAAATATAAAAAGGAGACAAGATTATAAGACTTAGAGGACTTATAGAGGACTTATAATGTTTATCACTTGTACAATGATTCAAGAAAAATTTTATTTTTCGTATAAGTGTTGAATTATACGGCATCAAGTATTTATATGACATTTATATTATGATACGCATACAATGATATATTGCGTTTAATTTTTATATTTATGATGGATAATTTTTAGATATATAATTAGGTATTGTATCTAATTATCTAACATGAGTAGGAATCGTTGGAACTCACTCGTGGTCGGGCGAATACTTAGTGACGTAAGCTGCAACAAAGAACGATGTACTGTGGGTCTATTTTAAAATTTGTTACATGCTTAAAAAAAATTTGATTCAATACCACTGGGTCAAGTTGGTTTAAACACACGGACGCTGTAAGCACTATAGGTATTTGATACACATATTGTTGACATATGCGATAACAGAATAACGGTTTATCGAGATTTATTTTCAGCGTGCTTTTTTGGAGCCGAAGTATGCCTTTGCAAGTATATCGGAAACCACCAAGCGTAAGCTTGAAATGTATTTTTACGATTGTTTCCATTTCCTGGTGGTTGGTTGGCGGTCAATCGCGTGTTGTATTATTATTTATTTGTTATTACTATTATTATTATTATTATTATTATAGGACACGTTATTATTATTATTATTATTGTCGTCACACGACGAGAAATCGCTTCGGAACATTTTACACAAGCATCACACACCCAATGACCGGTATAAATTATACCCGCCGAATGTATATTTTGATGTACATAATCCTTTACCGTTGACGACCGTGGCATAGTTCTGCAATATGTTTATAAACTCCTCGAACTGTAACCTCATACACGCATCGCGTACATCATAATATTATTTATACATCAGGTAAATTGTTTGTATGTGCATATTTAGATACAGTATACTGGGTAATTAATTTATCACGAGACACTGATTTCCTTGATAGATTTGTATAGTAAAATGTACAGTAAATTCAGAAATAGTTTTTGAATTTTACCTTTTTTTCAATATAGCTAATTTTTAGGTAGAATGAGCATTATTCGGTTTTAAAAATATTCTGTGTATACATAAGCATAACAAATTATATTTGGTAAATCTTACTGTCATGGCCGGTGCTATAAATTATTAATAAAGAGGGGAGAGAGTCATAGATATACAAATTTGTAGACTACTTTTAAAAAAAAAATTCTTTAATAGTAATATTACTGAATTTGTTAATGATTGCCGTCTATATAAATAGGTCACTTATGGGTAGGGGAATGCAACCCCACATCCCCCTAAAATTATCACTGCTTACTGTGCAGAAAGGTATACGGATGGTGTGACCTTCATCTCTTTGAACAACTTTAAATATGTTAACTGCATTGGCATATTATAATTATTAGAAAGACCGATTATATGAATATATTTTAAGCTCAGATATATATAAATAAAAATAAAAATTATATTAACTATAAGTGTAAAAAAAAATATGCTGACGTAAGACAATTTAAGTTAAAAATAAATAACAAAGAATAGTATAAAATTAAAATTAAAATTATTCACGATGAAAGTCCTTTTAAATAATTATGCGAATAGTGAAACCAAACCGAATGATAATACCTATAAAATAAATAATTTTATAATAATGTGTCCACTGAATTTACACGATAAGCAAAATAATAATTTTTGAATTTCATTATTGACTACAGACTACATAATAGATTATGGTAAATAATAACCTATGTACGTTTCTTTTATGCTATTTTAAAAGCATTATAATTTTTAAATATAAATGGCTTATTTGAAAAAAATATTCGTTGAATTTAAAATTTAATATTATTGCGGATAATATAAATTGTTACAATGTTAGGTTAGGTATATATATATATATGCACATTTGAAATATGGAAAATGTTCAAAGTATATAAAATATGTAAATGACATATGTAAAAACGTTGAGTTAATCTTATTTAATATCAATAGAATTTTGCTAAATTGTGTTTCAAATAAAATATGAGACTCAATATTATCAGAAATCATTTTTTGTCACTTGACACTTTATTTGACGTAAAAGTCACATTGTGTATAAGAGTCCACATACACCTAACACACGCTTACACTGTAGGTCACTTATACATACATATACGTTTATTTAGTTCAGTTGATGTATACGCATATTATGCATACGCATTTTTATATAAGTACCACAAAATAAGTATAGAAAATTGTGATCAGAGTTGAATACGTGAGATAAACACGTAAATACGTAATACATTTACTAACCCATGTATGTTTATATGTATATGTGTGTGTGTGTGTGTGTGTGTGTGTGTGTATAAAATTAAGTTATATGTAAATAATAATTATCATGTAATCAAGGTAGGTAATCTATGCAATAGTTTTAAAAGAAAAATTGTGTTAAATAGGTTATCGGAAAATGATTAAATGCTTATAAATGTGAATAAGTAATGAGTCTGCCATCAATGTCGCTGATGGATATAAATATTGAACATATATGTACATTTGTGTTAAAAATAAAGGTACCACGAGATATTTTTATAAAACTACCCTCAATTTCTATGGCAGTTATAAAATTCTGAATAGAAACATTATAATAGTTATAAATTGAATCTAATTTAATAATAATTTAATGATAGGTTAGGGGGCGGTGAAAGGATATGGCGCAAAAGTCAGCAACTTGCTATTCAATAGAACACGTCTCAACATTGAGATTTCTTTTGATTTTTATGTATGTGACTTTTATATTAGTTCGTTTAAAAATAAAAATATAGTGTTCAAGCCAGTGACATTACGGCTTTGTAAATTTTTTTTTTAAAAATTGACTCTTTTCTTTAGATGCCGACTTACTGTCTCGATTTATTAAAATACTGATTGTTAAATTTTGTGTGGGTCCAGAAAGTATAATAACAATAATTTTGTTCTAACTCAATACAGAAATGAAACTCATCACTGCCACCTCATTCATGGGACGTAGATAGGAATAATGATATGATACTTATTGATAAAAAAAAAAAAAATGAAAAAAAAAAACCGTTACTCACATATGAACAGCAGCGCTTTGCCTTTGGTCCGTTTAGCCCTGTACGTTAACGGTCTGGTGACGGACAGGTATCGGTCGAAGCTGATCAGCAGCAGGTTGAGCACGGAAGCATTGCTGGCCAGGTAGTCGAGCGCGAGCCAACCGTCGCACACGTGCCGGCCGAACGGCCAGTAACCGAGTATGGTGTACACGGTGAACAGCGGCATGGATATGAGGCCGATGAAGAAGTCGGCCAGCGCCAGGCTGAACAGGAAGTAGTTGCTGATGTTCTGCAGCTGCTTGTCGATCTTGAACGACACCATGACCATTATGTTGCCGGACACGGTGATGAAGCTGAGCATGCCGGACACGAGCGCGATGAACGCCGTCTGGGATAGCGTGAACCTAGGCGGGACGTCCCCGCCGCCGCCCTCGTCACCGCCCGGGTCGACGGATGCGGTGGCGTTCGTGGCCGTCGCGGCCGCAGCCACGACCACCGCCGCCGCCGACGCCATCGTTGTCCACGCATTGCTGTTGCTGCTGCTGCTGCTACTGCTACTGCTGCTGCCCGCCGCCGCTTCGGACGACGACGTCGATGACGCGATGTACAGTGCCGACAGCGCCGCCCGAGCCGCGAGCGCGTTCATTACGCGGCCATTCGCGTCTCCATCGTCGTCCACTACGCTATCTCCGCGGGGCCCCGGGGGCAGCCACCACCACCGCCACCACCGCCGCTGCAGCTGCCACCGGGACCCACCAACACGACCGCCGCCACCGCCGCCACCACCGCCGCCGCCGCCACCGCCGACGGCTACGTGTTCTCTTTCCTGACAACGAGCAAACGGACACTTTAGCAACACGCGACGACCGACGCACGTGCGTCAAGGTGCTCTTAGACCCAGTCTATGCGCACGGAACGTTTAGTGATCACCGTCAACTAGCCGTCGCGTATACGCATAATATATTCTTTGGCCGACCAATAGGTAGGGTGAAAAAATACAAAAATCATAAAATAATTGCTTACTTTAGACAAATTTTAGATTCAAGTGATATTCAATTTTAAAGGGGGGAAAAAAATTAATAAAGAACGAATATATACATATTTGTTTTAGAATATGTATTTATGAACTATGCACGGTGTAGATTATAGTTTTTGTGTTTGTAAGTCATTATGTTTGGTAAAAATATATAATAAAGTTTTTAAATCAACTGATCGGCTAATTAAAATCTGAAATATATATATATATATATTATTTTTAACTATGTAACAATGAAAATACTCTATATTTTTATCGGTTTTGGGGGAGTATTGCAAATCCGTTAGAGCAATAAAATATGAACAAAGAAATATGTTATCAAACGATCTTGAATCATCCATAACGGCGTCATATATAGCCAATTTTACTACTCCGGTGTGTTGCGATCTTGTGCATGCCAACTCGATAAAATAATATTATTACGAGTCATATTCTCATACTATTTTATTAAATTCTGAAAAACGAAGTAATGCACCAATATTGTGCAGGATGTTTCATATCATTTCATTCCAGTTATTTAAATTTTAAGTGATCATAAATAATTAATAACTCATACGATATTTAATTATTATATACTGACATGTATAAATTATTTTATTATATTGAAAATGAATTTTTGTATAATAAGTTATTATTGTTTATAAAAAGTATAGACCTAGTAAAATTTTTATGAAATTTTCTTTAAAAAGTGTCACAAAATACACACACATACACACACACACACACACATATATATATATATATATATATATATATATATATATATATACATATATAAATACAAAATTCAGGAATAATAGTATCAAAAAATTGCCCATTTTACTGTCACACAACATAATTTATATTTTACTATAGTTAATTCATTAGATGGTAATAGGGTTAAATTATTTAAATGTCAACACGTTTGAACTTTAAGGCACTTCCCATAAATAAAAGGCTAAAATTATTCAGAAGTCAGAGCCTGCGTTTATGATTGTACGGTATACGTAATGTGCAAGTTCTTGGGAACAAGTAAGATTCTTCATATTTGCCTTCGGGAAACATTTGGATATGGCTAGATTTGGTCTATCAAGTTAATTGAATATTAAAAAAAAAAAAGAAATGTGTAAATATTTTAGGGGTAAGAAGATTATCCTGTTCTAGCTACGCTATCAACATTATAGAGAATAGTACACATACTTAATCTAAGTTAAAAAATAAATGTACGTAAAAGATTAAACCAATACTGACTACACACACGTGTTGTTGTAGGTTAAGGAACAACACTGTGGGATTTTCCCTCCCACTGAGTTCTATTGTGACTACCGTATGAATACGCATCTATAATCCGGTTATCGTAACCGTCCTAGTCTTGTATGGATATTTTATTTTGATGAAGAACAAATTACATTTTATTCAAATATGGACATTGCACAGACATATGTAAGTATATCATTTTATATCGTAATTTATTATACATAATATAAGATCAATGTGAGTGGAATTTTGGTTTTACTTCTCCTTAAAATTTGAGTCAGCGTAACTCAGCTCTAGCCTTTATAACTGTTTTACTGAAAAATTGAATAATTATACTATACATACAAACAGGGTTAATTATTTTAACTTAAATCTAAAAATGAGCAACTCAAAAAAAAAAAAAAAAGCAAACTAGTAAAATCATTTTTTCTACTTTCCAAAGTCAAAATTTCAAACAATAAAATTGTTAATCTTACTAGTCTAATAAAAACTTAAAAATCCGAAAAAATAATTTATTTTAGGGTACACAATTAAAACTAAATGTTATTATTTGAAAATCAAAAATTAACTCTATTTAAAAAAATAAAAATGGAAAATAAGGACATTTTTTAAGTACAAACAAAAAAATATAAAATGCAACCTTGTAAATAAATCAGTACATATTTTAAATTAGTTAATTAGACGACCAAAATATCACTCAATAAAAATATTTTGTTGCTTAATTGTTTATTGTGTTTTGAAAGACTGGGAAAAAATCAATTAATTGTCAAAAAAAAATTTTTTTTTTTAAATAATGTAAAAAATGATTTGATAATGTATGATGGATATATTTGTATATATTTCAATATATTGTCAAATTATCGATATATACTTTTTCTATCAACAATCAGATTTATTTTTAATAGTAATGCGGACAAAACATGAAATACCATCGTACATTGACTATATATATATCGATTATTTCAAAAAAAAATATCGTTTGTGAAAATTCCTTAAAAATCCACTAAAATTATTGATGGCAAAAAATAATATCTACATTTATATTTTTTTAGATATAGCCGTACTTAGATTAATATAATTATTACAATATATATATGTATAATTAGACCGAACATATTATAGAAAATATATATTTGTATCATCTATAAACTATAATCAGACATCCATTAAGTTATTCATCAAATTACTAATAAAATTTACTTTCCCAATAGTGGACACTTTTTACTATAATAATGACTCTATTCAAAATTATGGTTTTATACTATATATAGTCCTTATTATAGTAATTATTAATTATGTAACGTTATACGTGGTTAATCTCATTATTTATATTATGGAATCAACCGGAAGTTTTTCATGGAGTTTTTTGTGCATCAAATGTATTATACTCATAATTTATTTATTTTATGTACTCTTACTCTCTTCTATATATCTATAATATGTTAATAACCGAAATATACTTAAACATAAAACTCATGCATAGACGTGATATTGAAAAGATCATATTCATCATGTACGTACATCGACTACGTCTAATCGAAAATGTTATTTTTTTCTCGTTAAATTAGGGTTATATATGACTTTTTTTTTAACATTTAGGCCTTGTCGTTGCCTTATAGCATAGTAGGGAGGAAGGATTTAGCGCTGAACGTTTACTGAGCAAAACGAATACAAATCCTACACGTCCGAAAGTCGTTAAAACATAATATATTGTATATACATTATACATATATATATTCCTATGAATATAATCTGTAATTTGAACCTGTTATGCGCTACAACGTTGTGTTGAAATCTACATAATTACAGCATACTTCTCGGTCAATTAATGTGTTTTTGAACAAATTTAATGTAACACAGTTTAATATATAATTTAATATTGCAAAAAAATTTCTATTTCCTATTATTTTTAATTAAGTAACATCCACATGCACTAAGACATCAAATGTTCCTATCTTTAAAATTTAAAATTAGAATATTTTATTGAATATGATGATGCACGGAATTCGTACTTCAAACCGGTCAACCTATAACGTAATGTTATTATTCATAAGTATAACGTATAATACGTTTAAACGAGAGAAGAGAGCGCAGCATCAATATTTTACCTGGTATCTTCCGCCGTTTAATTTATCCACTGACGGCTAATTATTAAAAACTTATGAATAATCAACAACCATATTAAAGGTTCTATAGTATGCAATGTTGATCGCATTTCCGGAAAAACGTTCTGTTTGACAATACGAAGTCGAAAATATTTAAATGTATTGCCGTTAAAATAATATGTATATGTATTGTATTTCAAATGCAGATAAACCGGTGTAGACACTGAGAAGATTTTATAGTGCACATAGCAGCATGCAGCTTGACATCACATCATAACATCGATGGATATTGATCTACTGGGGTATAAGCGTTTAGCTATACACAAAAATGTTCCATCCGGTAAGCACGAAAACGGGATTTTCTTTTCAAGAGGGAGTGGAATAAAAAAAAAAAATAAATAAAAAAAATGTCATTCCCTCGAAACGAAATCAGAACCTTTTACAGTAATAAAAAAATGTTAATACCAGTTTCCTACGTTTAAGATGAAAAAAAAACCTTTTGTTTTACATTTTAAATGATGAGTACCTGTTTCGTATATATTTAAATCATAAAGGATTACCCGTTTACGGGAAGGCGCGGAAAAATTTCGAGTGGGGTCTGGACCCCATGGACCACCCTTACTCCTTTGTTGCGTGCCTACTTTCCGGACCGAGTTCAAAGTGGCGTGTTCGGAAAACGCCACGTATATAATAATTGCTAGTCCGGAAAAACCGCGAGAACGGTAGTACCGCGAAACGTATTACACCCGTTGTCGACAATAATAGAATATCGTGTGTACGGCGAACGCTGCGCGAAAATTGTTATTATTATGTTATTGTGTCACGGGCGCGCGTGTATGACTGTGTACGATCGCGCACACGCGCCGGGACGCCCAGCCCCCTCGACCGCCGCCAGCGGATTTCCCGACACGGGGCGGCGGGCTACAACGTCCGTGTTGCTGCCCGGGGTTTACTTTCCGCGTGCTCGGCAAAACCTAGTAGTATTTTTATTACGGTTTTGAAATACCGTCGCCGTCAGCCGCCCGGCGGTATTGGCAAATCAAAAAGAAAATTATGTACGATTCAAATAGAAAAACACGCGTATCATATGGTTCTGATTTGTATCCACGTTGATTGCCGTGTGATAACAATATATTGTGTACGTTCGAGAGCCACATAATATTATCGCGCACGGACAAGTCTTTTGGGTTCCGTCGAACAACTATATAGAAAATGTGTAGAAGCTGTGCTCCGGAGTGAACGATTTTCGGTTTTCTAAGCGATACCCGTTGAAGTGTATGGACACGGATGGGTTGAAAAAAAAAAACTGTGATAAGCGTATGAGTTTCTTTGTATACATGTTTTATGTTTTTAGATTTTGGGTATTGAATTACAACAAAATTATTTCTACCAAAACCAATTTAAAATGCTCCCAACATACTCGTATTCATCGCTACGGTTAAATATTATATGATATTTATATATATTTATAATTTATGTTTGTATGTACATAATATACAGAAACAATATATCAGTTAACATATCGTTTTTTAAGTTGTTTTGAGTTATCATTATACGTACTTCAGCGTTCTATCCAATAATTCTGTAGCTTTATTTACTTGTTTACTCTTATTTTACATTATATTTATGAAATTTTAAAATTAATTGAAAACATTTAGTTTTATTATCTTAATTGATAATATTAAATGAATTGGTTGAGAATTAATGGAGTTCACGTGAACGTATAGGCTGTAAAAAACCAGAAAATATTTTGATTTAGTTGGCGTAGCTTTTCTATACTATGCTGTGTATACTGCAGCGTGTTCTTATCGTCAGGGCTCACGGTTTTCCGGTGGTTGCACAATGTTTAAACAGTGTTTCTCAAAATTTCAATTACAATTGTAACGGATAATTTTTACAATTTCACAATCCGTAATATTATATAAAAATCTCATAGTTAACTTTTTAAGACACATTGTATAACAACATATGTTAAATTCAGTACTGTAATTAAATGTGTGGACCATACTCTGCCATCATAACAAATTATTAAAATATACAGAACGATACTTAAAAAAAATTTTATGAAAATATACAGTACAACCATATGGATAATACTATTGTGTGAGATAAAAATTTTTAAAATATTCAAATGGAATGACTTAGATAATATATTAATTATTATTTAAATTATTAAGCAAAATTCGTATCAATATGTATAATATACCATATATATATATTGCGGATGTATAATTACATGTATATTTATATAACTCGTTTGACGAAAGCTAAATAGTGGTAATTGGTATAAAAATATTTATAAATGTAAACCATAAAACTGTATAAAAACGAATCAACTACAATTTTTATAATTTAAACATATTATTTTAATTTTTACGAGAGCTCAGATTTTTGTTTTGTTGACAATGAGACCAAAAATGTAACAAAAGGGAGTTAATAGTGAATTTTATATAATAAGCGGTATACAAAATGTACAGTAAAGAAAAACTCGAGAGATTTAGAGCCGATTACATTTCAAGCATTATTTTATCAATATACATGTTTTATATAATATATGTATATTACAGAATCATTTGGCGCCGTAAGTACCAAGTACAATTGTAATACTCTACGAGTGTTATTATGTCGTACCAAATATCTATACATGCATTATGCACACGTAACCTAAAAAAAAAAAGCCACAGAAACCCCGAGCTTAATATTCTATTGTAATTTAATATTGCATCGTTGTAACGCGAGTTCGACGCTACATTATAAGTTATACGATGACACAACCGTATAAACCATGTATAAACTACTACGTTAAACCCTTTTTAAAAAATAAAAAATAAAAAAAATTAAAATAAAGAACTATTAAACATAATACTGAATGGATACAGATTTTAAGCAAGCTACAAAAATTGGGTAAGTCACCGACTGGTAAGGCTGTTTTTATATGTTTTTATACATCAAAACCATGGTAAATGATTATGATCAAAAAGGATTCTAAACTGAACTTCGTGAAAAATAATTCCAATATATTGATTTTATAAAAAAATAAAATAAAATTACTAAAGTTTTATCCGTTAAGGTTTGCAAAGATTGTCTGGAAAATTGAAAAAATTACCTCTTAAAAATACCATCTGTGTTTAATTTCGAATCGATTAAATTATATAGTCACATAAGACGTAACATTTTCAGAACACTTTTACTACCCTAAAAAGTTTATGTAAAAAAAACACGTTATTGTAAAACCAATAATTTATTCTGTTAGCTTTCAAAGGAAGATTGACGTGTCAGAAAGTTGAGAAATTGCTCAGTAGACCAATATTTTAAGTGAATTATAAAACACAAGGAAGATTTTACTAACTGGACCGAAATAATTCCTGGTGTATTTATCGAACCAAAGAATTTCACCGATTCTCATCTGTTGTTCACATCACTCTGAATCTAAAACAAAAATATTGCTTGCGATTCCGGTAAAACTATAATATGATTCGAACGATACAAAATTATCAGATATTCGTTTAAATCTATGTATTCAGCTGTGAAGTCGTTAAAACAAGTGCTCGAATTGGGTTGGTGCGCGGGGAGACGGAGCTCCTCTACTATTTTTTTTTTTTTTGCGTACCCCAACTATATTTTTTCATCGGAATGGGGGGACGCCACGTTCATCCTAATTTATGTCCAAAATAATTTTTATGTGAATTTCAATTTACGTCACTTGGAAAATAAATTTTACGATTTATAATAACAAAACTATTTTTATAATTTAAGATTAAAGAGGAAAAATAGATAAAAACAAAAATCAAATATATGATTATATCATTCGATTCATGAGACTCCCTGATCGTCTACAATTATGTTAATTATTATTTTCTATTGTAACATGTAGGATGTTGGTATTGCTATCAAAATATATTATATTTAGAATTTAAATATTAGTGTAGCAGAAAAGTGGCATTAAAAATAATTGTAAGTTTGGTGGATGGTGGGGAGGGGATCAGGGAAAAACCCCCCATGGGTCTGTATTAAATAATTGCGCACATGGAACGCAGTTTTCAATTCATTGGACCGAGCTCCTCTACTTAATTTTTCCCAATTCGAGCACTGATTTTAAACACTGGTTTTAACCCATTAAATATAATCCAAACTTACCAATCTAAAACTTTAATGTAAATCACAAAAGCACCCTATAGCTTTATTACATTTCTTATCATACATTCTAAAATAACCTCTTATTCTACATGTTTTAGACGTTGCTGTAATGTATTATAAAAGATTCCCTACTAGATTTTTTGTTCACCAAAATTCTCTCATGTTTGAAATATCTGCTGAATCCATTCTTGGAAATCTCCGTAATCGGTTAAAACGTAACTGGTGTACAGTTCTCTGAATTTGTTAAAACTTTATGATCTCAAGCTATTGAAGACCTTGTTCTCTATTAAAATTCCAGGGATCTTATAATAATAACGATCTAATATTTGTTGTTAAAATTATTTTTACCGATCGTATTATAAATATTTAAAATAATTATAAAACATTAATTGTTATAATATATACGTAAAAAAAAATTATGTTTGATTATAACAATGATTATAAGTGTCGTATTTGTATTCATTGAGATTTTAAGTACAGCCAGTCTAGGTTAGGATTGATTGGTGACTGAAACAATAACTGTGCAAACGAAAATTAATAATAAAAAACAAACATTTATAAATTACTTAAGAATAAAATATTTCTATGGTCAAGTCGGTTAAAATATATAATAGGGTTAAACGGATATTTTTATTGTTAAAAATAGTTTCAATGCATAAAAGTGTATAAGTAATCTGATATTGAAATCGTCAATTCAAAATCGATAAAAATAAAAATAAATGATAAATTTAAGTTTCAATTACACGCTTAGCAATTCAGCTGGGACAAAATTCTTAGTAACTACATTAAAAGTGTATAGATATTTTTTAAATTTAGATTAAATAATTATTTTAAACGTTAATTTAACGATTTTTATACATTACCGCGGGAATAGAAATGAAGAAATGATATTATGGGTTCTTGATTTGAAAGGGAAATGAATATCAGGGAAGTATAGGAAGGAAGAGAAAAATTAAATAACAAGGTCAACGTAAATGAACTACAAGGATTTCCAAGAAAATGATAACGAAACGGATCTACTGCTAATAACGAATACTGTTACTTGAATTGCATGTAATGATTCCACCTTTCAGATAAAATAAAAATACAATGTTTTATGTACATGCGTTATTTGTTATATGATAATTTATATTTAGGCAGGGAAATATTTACAGTTTATAGTTTAGTCACCAAACGATGTTAAGATAACTTCAAAATAATATTAAGACAAACTGTTTTTTATAAACCGTTATAAACCATAGAACAGATACGTTTGTACACATCCAAATAAATCACATCATTTTTGGTTCATATTTACATATGCATTTTACATATTTACTGACAAATATCAATACTATTACAAATTTTAAAAAAACAACAATATTTAAAGCAACACATATACATATCTTAACACAATTTGATATTTCTATAAGATTATAAATTATTTAGTAACAGATACGATTGTTTACTTGAGAATTATGGAAGTATGGTTATAAGCTAAACTGTTGATAATACAAAGTACCAATAAAACCCATTGTAACTTCATAAATATATAGTAATATCGATAACAGTTTTATTTGTACATTAAAAAAAACTATTGTAGCAACTTAGAATGTTTTAGAAATCATTAAAAATAAATATATATTTAATAATATTTAAAAAAAAAAAAGGAAAAAAAAGGTAGCTAGTAAAACTGTTTATTACTAAGAATTTTGTAATAAAAATGTAAAATTTAAATTAAATTTAAAAGCAGCTTTATTTCTTCTCTTTAATAATTTTCTCAACGCCATGTTACTTTTTACGAGTAATATAGTTACCCTGTGAGGTTGTCTTGGAAATACGTTTCAGCCGATAGCTTTTCCATTATATGTACATTTACTTCAGCGGCATCTCTTTACATCAATTTATATAAACGAAAAAAAAACAAATTCAAAATATTTAGTTAAATACTTATTCGGAAAAATGAATAATTTATTTTAATACGAATATATGCGCTACATTAATTATAATTTGGTTTTATTTCAAATTATTTTCAAACAAAAAATATTTATCACATATTTTCGGGTGTTGACCAGTTGCCCTCTACGCTTGTTATCGAGATTTTAAAAATATATCAGTTGCCCTCACATGTTAATATATACACGATTACAATATATAGCTCGTAAAATAGGGGAAGTAAATATAAAAATCATTAATAAAATATAAAATTATTTATAAAAATAAAGTAAAATAGTATAAAATTATAGTCAAATTAATAATAAATAATCTAATTATAATTATAAGTGGCATATTCAATATAATAATGC